GGACTGTGCTGTGGATGGAGGAGGAGGACTGTGCTGTGGATGGAGGTGGAGGACTGTGCTGTGGATGGAGGTGGAGGACTGTGCTGTGGATGGGGAAGGAGGACTGTGCTGTGGATGGAGGAGGAGGACTGTGCTGTGGATGGGGAAGGAGGACTGTGCTGTGGATGGAGGTGGAGGACTGTGCTGTGGATGGAGGAGGAGGACTGTGCTGTGGATGGAGGAGGAGGGCTGTGCTGTGGATGGAGGTGGAGGACTGTGCTGTGGATGGGGGTGGAGGACTGTGCTGTGGATGGGGAAGGAGGACTGTGCTGTGGATGGAGGAGGAGGACTGTGCTGTGGATGGAGGAGGAGGGCTGTGCTGTGGATGGGGAAGGAGGGCTGTGCTGTGGATGGAGGAGGAGGACTGTGCTGTGGATGGAGGAGGAGGACTGTGCTGTGAATGGGGAAGGAGGACTGTGCTGTGGATGGGGGTGGAGGACTGTGCTGTGGATGGGGAAGGAGGGCTGTGCTGTGGATGGGGAAGGAGGACTGTGCTGTGGATGGGGAAGGAGAACTGTGCTGTGGATGGAGGTGGAGGACTGTGCTGTGGATGGAGGTGGAGGACTGTGCTGTGGATGGAGGTGGAGGACTGTGCTGTGGATGGGGAAGGAGGACTGTGCTGTGGATGGAGGAGGAGGACTGTGCTGTGGATGGGGAAGGAGGACTGTGCTGTGGATGGAGGAGGAGGGCTGTGCTGTGGATGGAGGAGGAGGACTGTGCTGTGGATGGGGAAGGAGGACTGTACTGTGGATGGGGAAGGAGGACTGTGCTGTGGATGGGGAAGGAGGACTGTGCTGTGGATGGGGAAGGAGGACTGTGCTGTGGATGGAGGTGGAGGACTGTGCTGTGGATGGGGAAGGAGGACTGTGCTGTGGATGGAGGAGGAGGACTGTGCTGTGGATGGGGAAGGAGGACTGTGCTGTGGATGGAGGAGGAGGACTGTGCTGTGGATGGAGGAGGAGGACTGTGCTGTGGATGGAGGAGGAGGGCTGTGCTGTGGATGGAGGTGGAGGACTGTGCTGTGGATGGGGAAGGAGGACTGTGCTGTGGATGGAGGAGGAGGACTGTGCTGTGGATGGGGAAGGAGGACTGTGCTGTGGATGGAGGTGGAGGACTGTGCTGTGGATGGGGAAGGAGGACTGTGCTGTGGATGGAGGAGGAGGGCTGTGCTGTGGATGGAGGAGGAGGACTGTGCTGTGGATGGGGAAGGAGGACTGTACTGTGGATGGGGAAGGAGGACTGTGCTGTGGATGGAGGAGGAGGACTGTGCTGTGGATGGAGGTGGAGGACTGTGCTGTGGATGGAGGTGGAGGACTGTGCTGTGGATGGGGAAGGAGGACTGTGCTGTGGATGGAGGAGGAGGACTGTGCTGTGGATGGGGAAGGAGGACTGTGCTGTGGATGAAGGAGGAGGACTGTGCTGTGGATGGAGGTGGAGGACTGTGCTGTGGATGGGGAAGGAGGACTGTGCTGTGGATGGAGGTGGAGGACTGTGCTGTGGATGGGGAAGGAGGACTGTGCTGTGGATGGAGGTGGAGGACTGTGCTGTGGATGGAGGAGGAGGGCTGTGCTGTGGATGGAGGAGGAGGGCTGTGCTGTGGATGGAGGAGGAGGGCTGTGCTGTGGATGGGGAAGGAGGGCTGTGCTGTGGATGGGGAAGGAGGACTGTGCTGTGGATGGAGGAGGAGGACTGTGCTGTGGATGGAGGAGGAGGGCTGTGCTGTGGATGGAGGAGGAGGGCTGTGCTGTGGATGGAGGAGGAGGGCTGTGCTGTGGATGGAGGAGGAGGGCTGTGCTGTGGATGGAGGAGGAGGGCTGTGCTGTGGATGGGGAAGGAGGACTGTGCTGTGGATGGGGAAGGAGGACTGTGCTGTGGATGGGGAAGGAGGACTGTGCTGTGGATGGGGAAGGAGGGCTGTGCTGTGGATGGGGAAGGAGGACTGTGCTGTGGATGGGGAAGGAGGACTGTGCTGTGGATGGGGAAGGAGGACTGTGCTGTGGATGGGGAAGGAGGACTGTGCTGTGGATGGGGAAGGAGGACTGTGCTGTGGATGGGGAAGGAGGACTGTGCTGTGGATGGGGAAGGAGGGCTGTGCTGTGGATGGGGAAGGAGGGCTGTGCTGTGGATGGGGAAGGAGGGCTGTGCTGTGGATGGGGAAGGAGGACTGTGCTGTGGATGGGGAAGGAGGACTGTGCTGTGGATGGGGAAGGAGGACTGTGCTGTGGATGGGGAAGGAGGACTGTGCTGTGGATGGGGAAGGAGGACTGTGCTGTGGATGGGGAAGGAGGACTGTGCTGTGGATGGGGAAGGAGGGCTGTGCTGTGGATGGGGAAGGAGGACTGTGCTGTGGATGGGGGTGGAGGACTGTGCTGTGGATGGAGGAGGAGGACTGTGCTGTGGATGGGGAAGGAGGACTGTGCTGTGGATGGGGAAGGAGGACTGTACTGTGGATGGGGGTAGAGGACTGTGCTGTGGAGGACTGAGCTGTGGATGGGGGAGGAGGACTGAGCTGTGGATGGGGGTGTAGGACTGTGCTCTGGACAGAGTCTAATGGGCTCATTTCTTGTTCCTGAGCAAGCAGCAGCTGCTACTAGGGTCAGGCCCTGCGCAGGGCAACTCATGAGGGCAATCTGATCTTAAAAAGACCCAAATAGACTGGTCGTGGTGGCTGAGGCCTCTAATCCCAGCACTTTGGAAGATGGAGGTGGACAGATCACTTGATGTCCAGAGTTCAAGACCAGCCTGACCAACATAGAGAAATGCTGTCTCTACTAAAAGTACAAAATTAGCTGGCATGGTGATGCATGCTTGTAATCACAGCTACTCAGGAGGCTGAGGCAGGAGAATCACTTGAACCTGGGAGGCAGAGGCTGCAGTGAGCTGAGATTGTATCCTTGCACTCCAGCCTGGTCAACAAGAACAAATCTCCATCTCAAAAAAGAAAAGAAAAAAAAAGACCCAAATATAAAATGATAAAAACAGCAGCCTGGGAATGCTAGTTAGACCTACTGTTAAAATTGCCCAAATCAGATAAATACGAACAATAACCACATAACCCGTTTAATAAAAGCAAGCCAAAAATAGAAAGAAAAAAAAAAACCTCTTTCCAACAAATGATAAACAAATGGATAGAATGCACAAATGAACAAAGAATATGAGCAGCAGACATTTCACCAAAGGGAAAGAGAGCTTAGAAAACAGACAGGGGAATCCATGCCAGGGCTCAGAGGCAGGCACACACAGCCACACATGGCATCGTCATGGGGAGCTGGTACCCCGCCTTCCCTGCACGGGGCCGGGGCGGGGCTGGGCAGGTTTCAAGAATCAGTGAGGCAAGAACCATCCCAAGCAGTGATGATGACCGGCCCTTTTATCGCAGTCACTGCCCAATCTTTGGACCAAGGTATTAAAGAATAACTCAAAACATCGAATTGCTTTGAATATTAACATAGATCTTATCAGCTTAAAAAATAGGAAGAAAACTCAATGGTGCAATACAAGGGCAATGGTGAAATACAGGGTCCACGCATGACATCAATTCAGCAGGACAGTATGCTGACATTAAAGCGACAGTTGTGGAGTCCACATAGAAAAAGTCATGATCTAATCATAACGTGATAATATGGATGAAAAACACAGTATACAAAACATGTCTGCTATACTTTAAATGTTATTTCCTTCCAGTCTTTTGCATACATCACACTGAGGAAAATCAGACTAAAACACTAACAGTCATTTTGGAGGCATTAAATGAATTTTTAAAAATATCTTCTTCTCATTTTTAAAGGCAGGGAACATCACAAACTGGGGCCTGTTGTGGGGTGGGGGAGCTAGGGGAGGGATAGCAGGGGGCAGGGAGATGGGGAGGGATAGCATTAGGAGAAACACCTAACATAGGTGATGGGGGGATGGACGCAGCAAACCACCATGGCACCTGTATACCTATGTAACAAACCTGCACATTCTGCACATGCACCCAGAACTTAAAATTTAAAAATTTAAACATTAAATTTTTTTTCTAACAATTTCTGAAATCAGTACTGTGATCCAAACCCTATTGGTGCTTTCCCTTCAAATGCTTTTTAGTCTTAAGTTGCCAGGACTTCAAATGCAGCAGATAGAGTGTCCTCCCTGCTATGTAATTGAAGGCTCTTCATTCTGAAGTAAAAGGTCAGCTGGCAGAGGTGTGGTTTTTTTTTTTTTCTTTACATTAATGATGAAAAGCTCAAAGGGGCCCTTGTTCCTTATTTCTTTAAATGCTTATTCAAATTCAGCCTATGAATCACTTCTATAGCAATGAGAGCCTCGAACAAATACAACCAATCCACCAATACAACCAGTTAAGAGATCATTGGATGATCTCTAATCCTAGAAATCAACACCAGGAAGCTGGTATCAAAAGGGCCTTTTGGGGCTGGGCACAGTGGCTCACGCCTGTAATCCCAAAACTTTGGGAGGCCAAGGCAGGTAGATTGCTTGAGGACAGGAGTTTGAGACCAGCCTGGCCAACATGGTGAGACCGCTTCTCTACTAGAAATACAAAAAACTAGCTTGGCATGGTGGCAGGCACCTGTAATTGCAACTACTCGTGAGGCTGAGGCAGAAAATCACTTGAACCTGGAAGGTTGCAATGAGCCAAGATCACGCCTCTGCACGCCAGACTGGATGACAGAGCAAGACTCTGTCTAAAAATAAAAAGAAAATGGCTTTTGGGGCTCCCTCTCCTTTCTCCCCTCGCTTCCTAAAACCTCACAGACCAGACATCCGTCCCTGGAGACCAGAAAGCATGGCCTCCTATGTAAACAGCCCCCATCAGGGGCTCCTGTGGACTGGGGAAGGACGCTGGCAGGTAGGACCTGGCTTGCTCAGCAGCAGGAGGCAGGGGTGAGCACACACCAGTGACTGCAGGGTTCTGGGCAGGTGGAAGGAAGAGCGACAGGGAGCACGGGGCAGACACTGACCTCATAGATGAAGTACACCTTGGCTCCCACGTAGATACCCATGCGCACTACGGCGCGCACAGCAGCATTCATACCTGCAGAGGAAACAGGAGCAAGAGTCACTGAAGGGCCTCGGCAATTCCAGCTCTGCCACTCAGGACCCAGGACCATGGGTCTGTTCTGTAACTTCTCAATGCCCTCATTTCCTGATATATGAGATGGGTACACACAGCCCTCTGGGATGAGGGTAAGGACTAAAAGAAACAGCCAACGCAATGCAAAGTGCCCCGTATGCCCGGGCTGAGTCTAGGAGCCTGGAGGACTTTCTGTTCAAAACATCACTGCCTGAGCTCGGTACCAATTTGTAGGCCACTCCATCCAACAGAACACCGTGCAGAACAGGTGTTTATTCGCAGCTAGCCACATTCTGTGTGTGATAAGAGAAGGAGATAAAAAAAGGATTATCGCATCACCAACTACCACCGCAGCAACAACAACAACAACAACAACAACAAACTGCCTGGGCACCATGGCTCATGCCTGTAATCCAAGCACTTTTGGAGGTCGAGGTGGGCAGATCACAAGGTCAGGAGTTCGAGACCAGCATGGCCAATATGGCGAAACCCCATCTCTACTAAAAATTAGCCGGGCATGCGTCTGTAGTCCCAGCTACTCAGGAGGCTGAGGCAGGAGAATTGCTTGAACCGGGAGGTGGAGGTTGCGGTGAGCAAAGATTGCACCATTGCACTCCAGCCTGGGCGGCACAGCAAGGCTCTACCTCAAAAAATAAATAAATAAATAAAATAAAAAATAAAAAAAAATTAGGTAATGGGCTTCAACAGAAAACAAGTTGAATGATCAATAAAGTTAAAAGAAAGCGGCATGTTATAAATAACCATACCTCATGAAGATAAATGAAGGCCCTCCACTTAAAAAAAAATTATACAATGTATCATCATATAAGCCTTCAGCCTCAGGCTCAGACTCATTAGCCTCATCTCAAACAATGTTATACAATGTATCAACGTATAAGTCTTTTAGCCCCATCTCCTCTAAGCTGCAGATGTTATACAATGTATCATCATATAAGCCTTTAGCCTCAGGCTCAGACATTATACAATGTATCATATAAGTCATTAGCCTCATCTCAAACAATGTTATACAATGTATCAACGTATAAGCCTTTTAGCCCCATCTCCTCTCAGCCGCAGATGTTATACAATGTATCATCATATAAGTATGTTAGCCTCCATCCCCCTCTCCACCGTGGTCACGGGAGCTGAAGCCACTTGTGTCTCAGAACCACCTCTGGGGCCTGGAGGGTCTGTCTCGCTGTCATGGCTAAGGAGCTCAGGCCCATCGGGAGAGGAGTTAAAAGGCACGAGGGCCCCACCCACAACCACGCAGTGCTGCTGCTGAAGAATGCGGAGCACCTGAGCTTTCAGTGCCTCTGGCCCCAGACACACCTGAGAGCGCCCATCTTAATGATGCTACAGTTCGTGGGCCGTGAAACAAGTGATGCTTCCAATCAATGAGCCACAAATGAAAGGACCGTGGTCCTGCAGGGGCATCCTTGCCACAGAGGCAGGCTATGTGCACTTGGATGGCCACCCGCTCAGCAGACACTTAAAAAGCCTGAAATGCCTTAAAAAGCCTGAAATGCCGCTGAGCCAGGTCGGCGATGCTGGGGTCACCATTGCTTCTGAAAGTTGACAATTCTGAGTGAGGACACCTACTTTAGGGGTAAATGCGTGTATACTCCTTATCTAATCTGTATGTGTGCATATATATATGACGTAGTCTTATTTACGTTCTATTCAAACCTAGTTTATAACATGAAGAACTCTAATGACCTGCTGATGAACCAGTGGCCACCTCTCAAGAACATCAGACTCAGCGTTTGAAAATGCAGCAGGTCAGCTCACCCTGGCCATTTCCTCCGCCCGCTGTACTCTCTCCCCTGCGGAACAGCACGACTTTATTCTCTGTCACTGGTGCTGAACGCGGCCAACACCCTCGCTAGCTCCAGCCCACACAACGGACATCTTCTCCCAGCACTGCCCCCGAATCCCCGACTCACTCGACGTGAGCCACACTGAGGCCAGAATCATTACAACAGCTTTTTCTCTTTCGTTGGCTTTTATGCAAGTAAATTATGAATACGTTCTTCTTGTTTAGAAAAAACACAAATGAGTCACGGTCACACAAGCCCCACCCCCTTGGAGAACTGGGTCTGAGGCCGGTGACTGGCTGCTGTGCCGTGTGGAGCTTCACACGTTATTTCTGTCTACACTCGACACCACGTCCAAGATGGTTTCCACACCACTTTCAACATTCTCTTCTAAAGCACAAATATGACCGCTTTCCTCCGGGTTCCCAGGGCTATGAGAAGAAACCCCAAGCTCCCCTGAGCTCCTCCATGCCCAGGGACCTCCTACCTGTCTGGCGGCACTCTTGTCCCTGAGCCTGGGTGGCAGCCCTGCCAGTGCTCTTGCTGGGACGCACTTCCTCATCCTCTGCTCCCGGGCTCTGGCACCTCCCAGGAAGACTGCAGGGCTTGCCTCCCACCTGATTCCATTTATTCCTAGCAGGACACAGCCTCCCGCCCCCTTGGCCTCACACCTGTGGGACATTCTCACCCATCTCTCCAACAGGCAGGCTCGGCAGTGCCTGGACTCCTCAACTCGAGGGGTCGAAGCACAGCTCTGGCTCCAGAACCACATGCTATGGTCACTCTGATGGATGGATTAACCACCAAACAGTCAGCCCGTGCCAACACCAGGAAGCAGGTGATGAAGAAGCACAACTCTAAGACCTGGTGGCAGCCCTTCAGCCCTGCTCCTTCCCCGCCCCGCTCCTCCTCCTCCCCCTGCTCCTCCTCCACCCCCTGCTCTCTGAAGACCTCGTTCCCATCATTCCCACCTGGTCTTTCATAAAGGAATGATGAAGAACTTGGGAATTTTAGAAAATGTAAGTGGAACGAAATAGCAGCAGGAATAAAATTTTTAAAAGCTGAGCATGGCCGGGAGTGATGGCCCATGCCTGTAATCCCAGCACGTTGGGAGGCCAAGGTGGGCAGATCATGAGGTCAAGAGATCGAGACCATCCTGGCCAACATGGTGAAACCCTGTCTCTATAAAAATACCAAAATTAGCGTAGGCCTAAGTCTCAGCTACCCAGGAGGCTGAGGCTGGAGAATCACTTGAATCCAGGAGGCAGAGGATGCTGTGAGCAGAGATCATGCCACTGCACTCCAGTTTCGTGACAGAGTGAGACTCCATCTAAAAACGAAACAAAACAAACAAAAAACAAAAAAAGTTGGACATAAGACACAAGGTGACCCCAGACGACTCCTGCACCGAGTAAAAATGCACGCCAGCACTAACTCAGTCCATGAAGTCCCTGCCTGCATTCTCCCCACCTCCCCCACCCCCGAGGGTTCACCTGCACCCACCTGGAAAGAATCGAGACACCACCCTACAAGCAGAAGCTCACCATCAGTAGCCAAATCCCGCCCCCCCCCACCCCACCTCGGACCCGTAGCTGGGCTGCCCCTAGGATTTCACGGGTGGAGAGGGAGCCTGAGAACCTACATTTCTAGCAATTTCCAGGTGATGGGGGCACCACTCTTAAAGATACAGTTCTAGGTCCTGAAAGGACTTCTGTTCTCTTGCACGTTGGAGGGACTCAGTCCTACACTGCAAAGGGCTTTGATTCACGGGTCCCCCTTGAGCTCAGGGGCTGGCAGTAGTCAGTAGGGCCCTACAGGGCACCCCTTGCTTATGGCACACCCACAGCCCAAGCCCTGGCCTGGGTGATTCTCACAGGAAGCCAGCGGAGCTCTGACACCTCCCTGGAGGGATGAGGCCCTGCAGGGGATAAACTGATTACCGGAAGGTAACAACATCAGTAAGTGGAGAAGCTGCAGTGTAAATCCTGGTCTTATTTCATTTTACCTCTAAAGACTTCCTAATTTCCTCTCTGACAAGGACTGTGCCTTAGAGTCACCAATGGCAGCTTGAAGGAAAATAACGCCTGCTAGAGACCAAAAGCTCATTGAATGGCCTGGGGTGGGGCCTGCTTGGTTCTAAGCCCTCCCTGTGACCTGTACAGTGAGCACTGCAAATCCTTGCTTCAGGCTGGGTCCTGTAGGGTAAAACCTGAGGAAGTCCCAGGAACACTCAGTGTTGGCATTGGAGGGAGGAGAATGCTGGTGGACAAACGCAAAGGGGAAACGAGCCAGAATTTACTGAGGGGCTCTGTCACCCACAGGACAGGGATGAAGGCTTGCGTGCTTGTGATGTGGGCTTTCCCAGCCTCGCAGGTTCACAGGTGCGAACTTGCAATTCGGGCTTTCCCAGCCTCACAAGTAAATGTCACCAGGTTCGCCATTTCCTTAGGGCTGCCCCGGCACACAGCCATTTGGGACGAAGGGCAGCTTCAGAGTCTTTTACTCCACACACTCAAACTATAGTTTGTCCCATCAGCTCCAGCATCCTGGGGCTAATCCATCTCGTTTTGCTTTGATTTTGGAAGCTCAACCCAGGTTATCAGACAGCTTTTCTAAGGTTTTCCAGGAGAAAACATTTTCCCACCATGCAGGAACCTTAACATTTGGAAAAACACCTTTTGGGAATTTCATAATTCCCAAAAAAACCCAGTTTCCAGGGCAGTGATCTTCTTATTATGAGAACCAAAAATAAACCTGGACACAATGAGGGAGAGGTTACCTAGGAAATATGCGGTCATTACTCTACTGCCACAGACAGGACGGATCATTAACTCTCTTTCTTGACAGGACACACTTCACTACACCATAGTGCAGGTGAGAGTCACAAGACGACTTCTTCCATAGGCAGAGTCATCCCTGGTGCACAGCAGGGCCTAGCAAGAGTGAGTCAGGTCACCCTTATTTCCTGGCTACTTGGAAGACTGGGATTTCTCAGTTTACAGATCTCAGCTTCCTGGGAATCTGCTCTGATAAAATCTAAATTGTATTTTTTGCCTATTTGTTTGAGATGGAGTTTCCCTCTTGTTGCCCAGGCTGAGTGCAGTGGTGCAATCTTGGCTCACTGCAACCTCCACCCCCCTGGGC